TTTTTAGAGTTAATTTAACTTTAATGTTTTGCAGAAAAATAAAGACCATTACGAACCGTTAGGGAAGTTTTTTTTTTTGCTCGGGAACGGAAACGGAATGGAACTTTTTGCGGTGGAACGAAACTAAAACCAAACCGAAAAACCTTGCGATAGTGTTCGCTTCCCGCACACTAACCCCTGCGGAGCTAAATTTTTTCAGGTTTATCAGGAAGGACTGGCCGTCGTCTATCGAGCCATGCATTTTCATCAGTACATCGCTGGCAGACACATGACTGTTCTGACTGATCACAGGCCACTCCTGAGTATTCTAGGGCCCCAAAAGCAGATTCCACAGACACTTTCGCCTCGTATGATCCGATGGTGCATTAAGATGTCAGCATAAGACTACGACGTCGTGTACTGTCCTGGAAACAAGCACGGAAACACCGACGCACTAAGCCGCTTACCCCTCAGCGAAACCATTGAAAATACACCTCAAGTTGGCTGCGTGCTCATGTTCGAAACGCTACCAAGACCCCCCACTAACAGCCGACGAAGTCACAATGGCCACGCAAGATGACCCAACATTATTCAAGCTGTACAACGCCCTGATGGAGGGCAGAGTTCAAAACTTCAAGAATGAGAACTTTCAACGCTTTTCACAAGAGAGCAATGGAGTTCAACTGTCATCGTGGTTGTATCAAATTGGGATCATGAGTTGTCATTCATGGCCCACTTCAACAACGAGCAATGGCTCTCATTCATGCCAGACACGGAGGCGTGATCACAATGAAGTGCGCTCGCAGCAACATGTGGTGGTGGGGAATCGGCGAGGACACTGAGATAGCTGCAGAGTGCACAGCCCGCCACTTCAATCAACGCACTCCGCCACGAGCTCCAGCACCGGACTGGGGCAGACCGAGCAGACCTTGGCACACATTCCTGGTAATTTCGGATGCCTACAGTAAATGGGTTGAAATTCACCATGTGAACAAAACAACATCAACAGCTGCCATCGATTTCCTGCTCTTGTTGTTCGAAACTTTCGAATTACCCCACAAGGTGGTTTCAAACAACGGAATTTCACTTGTGTCAGCCAAAGTACAGAAATCCAACGAGTGACAACTGCATCACAGTGGTGAAATCTGCTTCGAACCACCCAGCCACAAACGGACAGGCCAAACACTGCATGGTAGAGCTAAAACATGCACTTGCAAGAACTCTACGGGGTCAATACAGCGGCGCATTGCACGCTTTTTTTTTTTCAAGCAACTCACAACAGGTCAGACACGCCAGGTACCGGAGAATCTTATGTTTTCTTGTGAGCTGCGAACACACATCAGTCATTCTGCCAGAACCGCCTTGAAAGGTCGCACCACATAAGGAAGACTCCTCGCGTTGCCGGCAACTCCAAAAAGAACAATCAGTGGTCGCCCGTCAGTTTCATAGAATGCCCGAATGAACGGCACCCATCGTAAAAAAAAAAAAAAAAAAAAAAAAAATCGGCTGGAGATTTTGGCTTGTTGAAGCTAAAGCCCCTCCATCGCGTCTTCTACTGAAAAATGCATGGAGGGGCTTTAGACCGTGCATTCCCCCTTCCAGCCAGCTGCAAGGATGCACCCTGCCCTCCACCTGACCCTCCCCCCCCCAACGATGCTTGACATCGTGCGCCCGGGGACTGACTGACTGTCGGGGCAATCAGTGGGCCCGCGCACTGGTTGCTTCTTCTTTGTGCTCCTCATCCCTTTTATGGCCCACAGCGGACTCGAAAGCCAGCGCTCAGACCATTTGGTCCATGCTGCACACAAATGCCTTTCTTGAAAGTAATAAACTCAGTTCCCTGTTACGTACGCTTGTTATTCCAACTACCGTGGACATAACACAGTGCAAATAGGGTTATTTGTTCCTAAAAAATTTAACCTCCTTGCCTTTCACCATTATATTTCTCTCTTTTAACTTACTTCCCTTAATATTTTTCATTTTTATCGTTTAATTGGAGAGTTGCATAATAAAAAAAAGGAAGTGGATTTATTTATTTATAGACTTGTTATTTAATTTAGAGAAAAACAGGGGTGTGTGGCGCAGTGGACGCAACAATGTGTAGGAGGTACAGCAGTATAGATAGTTTTGAACGAAAGTGCGATGATTCAAAACAAAAAAAAAGAAGCGACATGAAATACGGTCCACATTCCCAAGAGCAAAAGAAAAATCATAAAAACAGTGCCCTTATGTTATGTTGTGTCGGTAAAAAAGGACTCAAATACCAACTGTAGCAAAAATAAAGTCGGCAATATTAATAAGCGAGACATTGCAGAACCGAAGCACTGAAGAATCATGCAGAAGCGAGGCATTGAACCTCAAGCAATCAGTCTGATCAAGATGGGTATTAAAATAAAGTGCACTGTAATATATATGAAAGTGTAGTTATGAGCCATGTGAAACAGCTTACGTACGAAGAAACTAGTTGAGATCGACACTTTCAAGAATCTCTGGTGGGAAATTGTTTGACTCTCTGCTTGTGCGGAGAAGAAAGGGTACCTGTATATAGGGGCTCAGTCACTCTTTCAAGATTGGAGGCACGTGTTTCGTGGCGCAAAGTTGGTTCGATATAATTAGTTTTTTATATTGACAGCTTATTATTATATATGAGATAGAACAGCTTCGTTATTTCACGATAATGTCTCCAATCCAGGGTTTCTAGTTTAGTGCTTTCCAGAAGAACTGATGGAGACGTGTTACTTTTAGGCATTGAATATGAATATTACAGCTTTTCGCTGTATTGATTCAAGTTTATCTGTGTTAGCTTGCGTGTGCGGGCCCCAGACAGGCGATGAATATTCTAGTATTGGTATTAGGTACGTTTCACATGCAGTCATTTAGGTTCGCCGCATGCCTTAGCGAGTGCCTGTCTTAGGTAGCCTAGTATTTTCAAAGCCATTTTCTCAGTATAAGGCACATGTTCGTTCCATCTTAAATCAGATGTGATGACAAGCCCAAGGTTCGTATACTGCGAGATAAGGAACAAGAATTGATTGCCTAAGTTGTATCGGAATCTTAAAGGATCTTTTTTGTGGGTTATGGTTATTCCCAAAGTTTTTCTCGCGTTAAAAATCATCAATCATTTTGTGCGCCAATCTTGAATCTTAGATAAAGAGTTATTTAAAAGAACCTGGTCGCTGGAAGTGTTAACTACTTGAAAGCACACTGGCATCTGCGAAAAGCTTTAGATTTGCTGGGATATCACCGGTGGCATTATTGATATAAACCGAAAAGAAAAGAGGCCCGAGGGCGGATCCCTGAGGTATGCCGGATTTAAGCGGCGCGGACGGCGAGTTGATACTACCGTCCGTAAGATCATGCCCGGTGAATATTACTCGCGATTTCAAAGTTACGAGGGCTTGACGGCCACCGTGGTAGCTCAGTGGTAGAGCATCAAACGCGTTATTCGAAGGTTGCAGGTTCGGTTCCTGTCAACGGCAAGCCGTCTTTTCACCCACTTTTCTTTCTTCATATTTACATTACAATTCGGTCTAATAACTTCCCCTATACTTTCCTTGGCATTATTGTCTGTTAGATCTCATTAATATTGTGTCAAACCACAGAAAAATGGGCCCTTAAGTATACACTTCTTTCCCTTATTCATTAACAAGGGTCTTGTACTGGCAGACGTGGTGCCTTAGGTTGTATAAGAGGGACAATTGGTCAGCTACCAGCTCATAATAAGTTCACGTGCTATGTGACGCCATATAGGCTCATAAAGAGTGTGCCACACTCACCCCCATGGCTACAGATGGCTCTGACTGACACTCCGACGCTTAAGTTCACATATAAACCAAATATAGTGGCTGGGAGGATAGCCACTGTGGTAGTTCAGCGGCAGAGCATCGAACCCGTTATTCGAAGTGGCAGGTTCGGTTCCTGCCCACGGCAAGTTATCTTTGGTGCTCGTCGAGCAGGTGTGATGGTGGAAGGTCGTGCAAGGTCGGTTGGTGCAGGAGAAGCGCGCAACGAGAGATAAGTTTTCCTTTATTTCTTTGTGTTTGTGAACACCATTATTATTTTTTCTCTCCTAATCAATAACTTGCGTTGCGAGTACTGTAGGTGTGGGACACGGGTAACGTTGCAGTGACGTTGACCACGTGAATGGGGTAGGCGGCTGTTTTGAAGAAGTTCGGGGCGCCCGGTTAGTTGTTAAACAGCTAGAGCTGAACACAAAGAGGACCTAGCGAGAGGCTACTAGCGAAATTGAACACCTGTGTGTGCGGTGTAGGCCAACTCTCCTACCTCAACAGTTGTTGAGGTAGGAGAGCTGGCGGAGTTGGCTGGATAGCGGGATTAGAGTTGAACTTGGGGCTGTCGGGCGCTCGGTCCGATGGTCGGGCGGGCGATGACTAAGGAGGCTAGGAAAACCACGGGCGAGAGTGAGCTGGTGCAGTGCGAAGAATGCAAGCGCTGGTGCTACTCGGACGAGACAGTATTCACGAGTTTGGCCGACACACAGAAGGCGAGCTTCATGTGCAGGCTGTGCGAGGCACTGAAGGCGGCCATGCAGCGCATGGAGGCTAGCATCGAGGGGCTTCAGGGGGAGCTTAGGGCGGAACGGGAGCAGAGGATAGGACTCCAAAAAGAGCTCGGAGCATTGCGTGAGCAGGAGGAGGCTACCGCCAGCCCATTAGAGCAACTGAAGGGCGACCTTCGAAAAGAATGGAAAGGGCGGACCGAGCTCAAGAAGCGGGGTAAAGGAGCTAATGACGCTTTGCCCCAGCCACGAGCGGTGTGAGACGGAAGGCGTGGGTAGTGGAGAAGGCGATAGGCGGGAAGGAACAGGCGAAAAGGGAGGTCACGGGGCCGCAGTGTCTGGCCCCAGCACGGAGGCTCTGAGAACATACAGCTTGGTGGCGTGGCAGTCTTAGAGCAGGGCAGGAAGACAGGACAGACGGCAGAGAGAGAAACAGGTGAAGCAAACAGGGGCACCATCACAAACAGGAAGCCAGCGATTGGAGCGTAGAAAGGTCCTAGTGATGGGGGACTCTAACGTGGCCAGGGTTAGGAATGGCGTCCTCACGGCAGTGAAGAAAGATGGGAAAGTGAGGGTGGAAGCCCAGTCAATGAAGAGCATGGTGGATGCACTGGCCAAAGCTCAGGAGGTTGTAGACGACAGCATGAAGGGCGAAAATCTCACCATTATTCACGCTGGGCTCAATGATGTGCTGAAGGGCAAGGATCAAAACTTTCAGAGACAGTTAGAGGATGGTATGCGTAAGCTCCAAGAAGCCTCTGGTAGTCCACATGTGACCATATGCACAGTCCTGGAGGTCTGGGGGCAGTCTCGTGAGATTAAAAGGAGGGTAGTGGAGGCCAGCTGTGTTATCAAGGGTATGAGCCGGCAACTCGGATACAGTGTAATGGAGGTGAACCAAGACGTGTACAAGCCCGGCGCTTGCCCCTTTGCACAGATGGCATTCACTATAGTTGTGCGATGGGCAGGAGGGTCGATAATAGGATGGGTTGTCTAGCCACAGCATTTTGAGAGGGACCCAGGGCCCTGAGACCAACAGTGTAGCCAAAGACGGTACTAAAGGGGCACAAATATTCAAGCCACATGGAGTCCATAGAAAAGAAATCGACGTTAGCACAAGGGCCGAGTTAAGTCAGACATGGGCTATATTAACATGCAGGGTGGCAGGAATAGGTTAAATTAGGAAGAGATAGAAGAGCAGTTGAGACAGGAGGAGCTGATGGTATATGGGGTTGTGGAGACACATCTTCGGGACATGGAGCAACCACCTTGCAATCCGGACTACCCATGGGAATATTGCAATAGAACAGAAGGCAGCAAAAAGGGGGGTGGAATTGGTGCATTCATACATAAAAGTATGGGTTGGCAAAGAGTCAAGCACGGATGCATGGAACATTTATGGTTAAGAGGGAAAGTAGCTGGGCAGATGACACTCCTTGGTTTGGTGTACTTGTTGACGGGAGCAAAGGCCAGAGAGGAAAACCAGGCAATGGTGGATTGTATGTAAAAGGACATTGAGGAATTAGGAGGTGAGTGCGAGATAATTATACTGGAAGATATGAATGCGCACATAGAAGATATAGATGGGTATACTGACCGAACAGGCAAAATGATCATAGATATGTGTCAAAGGCATGATTTTATCATTTGCAACAAGAAGTGTGAAGAGCAAATAACATGGGAGGTAGGAAGGCTGCACTCGACGATAGATTATGCACTAATGTCACATAGGATTTATGATAGGCTCAACGGAATGCACATAGATGAATGTGGCTCCAGAAGTCTGTGTAGAGATCATAAATGTATCAAGCTAAGTTTTTGAAGAGCAGTGAAAGTGGGAAGGAGGCAAGATGAGCAACTACAGGAGGAAAATTTTTATTCAGAAAGGCAAATAGAAATAGCTACTAAACAAATTGAAAAAGTAATCACTGAGGATAATAAAACAGTGTGGACATACACGAATCTAATTAGACAGCTTGAGCTAGAGCTTGCTAAGGCACGTGACAAGTCACTCCAGAAAAGAAGACACAAACTCAAGAGCTGGTGGGATGAGGAAGTTAAGAGAGCTATAGCAAAACGTCAGCAAGCCTCTAGGGAACACAGACATGCTAAGCACCGCGGTGAACCGACAGATGATGTTGAAAGAAAATCGGACACTTTTCTAAGCTGTAGAAGAGAAGCATCCCTTCTGATCAATGAAAAGATTAGAAGAAAAGGGGCTCAGTGGCTGCCAGAAGTACATAAAAAGGATAGAAAGGCAGCTGCGAAAGTTTAAAACCATCTAAACTCCCTAAGAAATGAGATGAGCCTAGACCAGAGGTTTATAACTACAGCTCAAGGTGCTAGGCTAGAAGGGGATGAAGCTATTAAGTATATAAGAACAAGGGTGACAAAAAAATTTCAACAAAAAAGTGCCTTATGCACCAATAGACAAGGATGGATCAAGTGGCACGATGGCTCCATTTTCACAACAAGAGTGAGAAAAGGCTGAGAAGAGGGTTCCTAGTAGTACATCAACAGGCCCAGACGGCATTCCAATTAAGCTAATAAAGACATTGGGTCCGAAGTCTCAACAGACTTTGAGAGAGGCAGTGAGCAAAACAATAATCGATGGAGAAGTCCCCAATCGATGGAAACTTAGCAGGATGAGCATGATCTATAAAGGAAAGGGGGACAAAGCTGATATAAACAACTACCTTTCTATAACAGTGACATCAGTGGTCTACAGGCTGGCGATGCAGATTATAAATGAAAGACTACAGACATGGATAGAGGATGAAGGGGTGCTTGGGGAACTGCAGAATGGATTTTCGAACCACAGGAGATTGGAAGACAATCTATTCTCACTGACACAGTGCATCGAAATAGCAGAAAAGGAACACTGGCTTCTGTGGCTAGCATTTTTGGACATCAAGAGAGCGCACGATAGCATTTTTAAGGACATGTGGTGAATACTGGTCACACTAGGTGTGTAAGATGAAGTCACTAATCTTTTGAAGAATATCTATAAAAGTAACAAGGTAGTTATAAAATGGGAAAAACAGGTATCCAATACTGGACACACTAGGTGTGGAAGATGGAGTCACTAATCTTTTAAAGGATATCTATAAAAGTAACAAGGGTAACAAGGTAGTTCTAAAGTGAGAAAAACAGGTATCCAAGCCCACAGAGGTAAAACGGGGGCTTAGCCAGGGGTGTCCTCTGTCACCCTTGTTATTCATGATGTACCTACAAGGATTAGAGGCCAAATTAGAGAAAAGTGGACTTGGGTTCAACCTCTCTTTCATCAAACAAGGAAAACTCATTGAACAGGCACTACCAGCAGTGATGTACGCAGATGATATAGTGCTGATGGCCGACAACAAAGAAGATTTGCAGAGATTGATGGACATCTGCGATAATGAGGGAGATAAGTTAAATTTCAGATTAAGTACGGAAAAATTAGCTGTCATGATTTTCAATGATAATGAAGGTAGAGAGATTAGGATACAGGAGGTCATGCTAGAGATAACAGATAAATACAAATATCTGGGCCTATGGATAAGCAATGGGACTGAGTAGCTAAGGGAACAAGAAATATATGTAACAACTAAATGTAACAAGAACGCAGCAGTGATAAAAAATAGGGCACTGTAGGATACCAATAGGTATGATGTTGTGAGAGGAATATAGAAAGGGGTCATGGTTCCAGGTCTGACGTTCGGCAATGAGGTCTTGCGCATGAGATCAGAAGTTAAAGCACGATTAGAATTTAAGCAACATGGAATAGGTAGGCTTGCTTTAGGAGCTCACGGGAATAAACCAAAGCAGAAAGTACAAGGTGATATGGGATGGCCATCATTTGCGGGCAGGGAAGCTAGCAGCAAGATAAAATTTGAGAAGCGATTGAGAGAAATGGGGGAGGAGCATTGGGCTAGGAAGATCTTCAGCTACTTGTACATGAAGAATGTTGATACAAAATAGAGGAAGCGAACCAGAAAATTGACGGGTAAATACTTAGAAAACAGCAAGGGGCCAAACCAAAAAGAATTATCGGTTAAAAAGAAGGTAAAGAAAACGGAGACTGACATGTGGAGAATTGGCATAATTAAGAAGTCCGCACTAGAGATATCAAAATTTTAAGCAGGAAATTGCCAAGGAAAAGATCTATGATAATACTCGGGGTATTTCTTTACTGTTTGAGGCCAGAACGGGAGTATTGCGAACCAACACATATCGGGCGAAATACGAAGGGGTAGACACGGTATGCAGTGCATGTGGAGAGGAGGAGGAAACAGCAGAACACTTGATAATGTTCTGTAAAGGGATTCACCCTAGAGTTCAGGATGATGGCGCGGAGTTTTTGAAAGCACTGGGGTCAGGGACAGGGAGGGCAAAATAAACTTTCAGCGGGTAGAATTAACTAGAAGAAGGTTATCTGATTGGTGGCTAAACTCAAGGCGCGAATGAAAATTAAACTTTTCTCTGCAAAGTACCAGTCCTCAACTTCACTATTTACAGGAAAAAAAAATATAAATCTAGTTGTTGGTTCACTGAGTATTACGGCTAGGTGGCGTTAGCCGCCACCCGATCTAAAGGGTACAGCCACTTCAATCCATCCATCTATCCATCCGGCTGTCGCACCCTGAACAAAACTGGCCAGGGAACATTTTTAAAGACGATAGTCTTTCTTGGAGACCTTCGACGCAAAAATTCTGCTCTATCTGCATGTCCATTTGTCTGTTTGTCCATACTTAACAGTACCGGGCATTTAAAACGGCAGCAGTGGATATCCCAAATGGCCAACCCCATCCACAGCGCCCACCAATGTTGCTCAAGATTCAGCGTTCATACTTGTGCAATAGTCAATTAAAAAGCAATTATCACGCATATCTGAGGCACCATAACAACACGTATATGTTCTGTTTGTTTGTCTTTTACTAGAAAAGGCATACATAAGTTATTCTAAGGACCGTAGCGTTTATCACGTAGCGCTGACCATGTAACGCTTGCATTAAAAGGAAAGAGTTTCCAACACTTTGCTAAGACGACACGATGGTGGCACCTACCCGCCGCCTTGCGTTCTACACCTTATCACCTCTGAGACGGGCGCGCACGCCTGTCTCAGAGCCATTGGTTTTGTTTTCTAAGATAACTGCCAGATAGTGCTCAAGTCTCACGTGTGACGTGACTTGGTGCGCTCGTTCGCCTCCGCTGCACGCTCGAGGCAATCTAACACAGCGCCTCCAGAATACCATTCACCAATTTTCTTGCGCAGAACATGAAATAAATGTTTTGTTCAATTTCTTCATATGCAAGACTATCGTCTTTCGACGACATTTACAGATTAACATGCAGATACGGGGCCAATTTTTTTACCACGCAATTCAAACACGCTCTATACCATCATGAACCAAACATATGCCAGTACCCGAATCCCAGAAAGCAATTAGATATCTTTGAGCACGTCTCTACGGCAGCGATTCAAATGCGGTAAAACAGCCAATATTTCTGAGAGTGCCTATAGGCGCTGTGAATTATCTTTTAATAAGCTGCGAAACTTGCACTATATCAACCACGATACTGTAACTCCGGCAGAAGAAAGGTTCATACAGTTGCTACTTGAAACTGTGAAAGCAATAAGAAAATCAGAAAGGGGGAGGAGTTATAATCCCCCCCTTTCTGGGGGGGATTAAAAGGAGAGTGATGCGAGGCCCTGCCCCCACAATGCAGGAAAGCGCGCCTCCTGCTCGTGAGCCGGAATCCTGGGGACGGCGCCGTTCAGGTGCGGCGTTGCCTGGCGGAGCTGGAGGTGTCGCTTCTCCTGGGCGCGAAAACCGGTCGATGGCTGCCAAGAGCCATCCAACCATTTTGCTGCAGAAATCGTGGTTCCTTCAACCGTGTACTCCATGTTGGGGATGACCAGTTTGGGCAGGAACGCGGGGAGAAACGCTAAAGCACTGGCAAAAAGCCTGCGCGAAAGAAAGCGGAGCGTTGCAAGAGTCCCGGGAGCGTCTCTCATAGATACGAGAACAAGAAATGCACGTCCGATCTCTTCAAAATCTCGAGAGGGACTCAGTATTCACAATGAATGCAGAATGTATCGAAACATGAAGGCATCGACGAAGTCCTGGCGCCGAGCTATGCTGAAAAATGTTCCAAATCTACGGTGTCATGTCTTAGTCTGTGCTCGGTTGGCTGCGCAGAATGGTACGCAGCTTTGAAAAAGCGCCTGAGCATAACCGTGAGGTCTTGCGCCCCAAAGCAGCGACAGTTAGATCGGGGTAGCGTCGTCCACGATGTCGAAGGCGTCATGCTTCCCGGCCTCACTTCGGCGATGGTACATGAAGTTGAGGCAGCCTTGGTGCCGACGCCCCCTGACGAAGTGCTAGCATCGGTCTTCCGGCTGAACATTAGTAGGGCTGACATGCTCACGCTCACTGACACCCAGTGGTTCAACGACCAAGTGATAAACTTCTACATGAATCTCCTCATGCAACAGTCCCAGAAAGAAGGCTTTCCCACTATCTATGCCTTCAACACATTCTTTTATCCCAAGCTGGTGCAAGGCAGCCACGCTGCGTTGAAGAGATGGATGCGCACTGTCGACCTCTTCTCCTTTGACATTATTCTGGTGGCCCTGCACGTCACTGCGCACTGGTGCCTTGCGGTTGTTGACTTCCGCAAGCCCCACATTGCTTACTACGACAGCCTCAACTCAGAACGTGAACAACCTCAGTGCTTGGCCACGCTGCAGAAGTACTTGGAAGACGAGAGCCTTCACAAGCGAAGCTACGGTCTCAACTGGGACTGCTGGACGTTCAAAGTGATGGATGTGCCACAACAAGAAAACTACAATGACTGCGCCATGTTCGCTTGTCAATTCGCTGAGTGTATATCCCGGGACACACCTATCTCATTTGGTCAGCAGCATATGCCATACTTCAGGAAGCGTGTTGTCTACGAAATCCTACACAAAACCATACTTTCAGTGTGAGTTCAGTGGTTTCAGTGTGTTTCTTTACACTGTTGGTGACAGTAAAGAAACGGATCGCTCAACCATCTGCTGTGAAGTGAATAAAGGCGACCGGGATGTTTCAAAGCAATACGTTGGGTGAGTTGATTTCTTCTAGCTTTAATATTTTACAGCCCAAGATGACACCACAGAAAGGAAGACACACAAAGCGCTTTGTGTCTTCCTTTCTGTGGTGTCCTCTTGTGCTGTAAAATAAGAAAGCAGTATGTTCCACCTCTTAAGGAGACAGGGTGTGCAAATACAAGAAGGAAGTCGGGACACCACAAATGTCTAACTGGAGAATTGCACAGCGGTAGAAAAAAAAGAAGGCACGAAAAGTTACCTGCACGTGCCCACGCAGAGTACAAACCTATCAATCTGGCATGTGTAGTGGTTTATAAATCCAAATTTATTAACAATTATCTTTCATGTAGACCACCAGACTTGTATATTGCATGGACATGTGCAGATAAGTTTTGTGTAGGCTTGCGCGAATAGTAAATTTTTGGTTCGAAGCGAATAGTGATTTCGATCGAATAATTTCGAATCGAATTTGAATGGTATCTATGACATAGAGAAAAAGGAAATATTTATGATGACAAAACTAACCTGCACAATATTTATTTTAAATTGAAGCAGGGTCTCTATGCAAAGGCCATTTATTTTTTCGTTCAAAGAAAGTCAAAACAACCTTGAGTAGTAGTTTCGGTAGGATGCGAGTGATAACCTGTGATATACTTAATGTTTTAAAATTTATTATACTAGGATTATATAAGCTGTCATAATAAGCTTAATAAAATGAAGAATTGATTTGAGGGTAACATGTTCCTTTAAAGGGGCCCTGCAACACTTTTTCAAGTAGCCATGGAGCCAGTAAACATGCTTGTTGCCTTCATTTACTACAGCAAAGTTTCTAGAATCAGTCCAGTATGAGCAGAGTTCCAAAAATTGGCACACTCTGCAATTGCATTCTCACTTCTCGTCTTGACGAAATAGCTGGAAGCTAAGCAGGGAGGAATGGCAAGGAGAAAGAATTAAAATACTCCACACGCACCACACGCACCTCTTTTTTTTTTTCTTCGAATAGGCGGCTTTTCAGTGCGATCGCAAATGTACTCGTGGACAAGCGCACCATGCTCAAATCAGCCAATGCCTGTGACCAGAGCCATATATTTCTTCTAGGTTGTGACAAGTGACTGTTGAGCTTGCAGTGTCACTTCCCGAGGAAAAAAAGCAGTTTTTAGCTTTGAAATTTTATTGTGAATTAGAGGCCATGTACTGCGCTACAATATTTGCCTCGCGCGTTTTCGTTAGCCTCGACTACCGATCGGCAGAATTTTCTGACCATGTTCAGTTATTGTTGCAAGGCCCCTTTAATTTGAAGGAAGGCTTCACGGCAAAGCAAATGTTCTTTAAGTAGATGTTTTCACTGTTTAGCACTCCTACACTGCAGTAAAACCACCTTTACAAGCAGTGACCTGCGAATTATTATACATTTATACGTTCATTGCAAATACTTCGAAAATATCAATAATTTAAATTCGAATCGAAGCGAATTCAAATACTCAACTATTCGCACAAGTCCAGTTTTGTGCCTTTTTTCTATCATTGTGCGATTCTTCAGTTATTAGGCTTTTGTAGTGTTCCTATTTTCTCCTTGTTTCTGCGTTTGCATGCCCTGTCTCCCTTACAAATTAATACAAAGGAATTAGCTCGGCTCTCAGTTATTCTAAATGGTATGTCGTCACACCCAAATGCCTTGCGATTGGCATCATTCACATTTATTTGTGTGATATCACCCTCCTCCCACATCTCACTGGTTCGCACACTTTGCGAGTGCTGTCAAGGCTTAAAAATTTAAGTGGGAAGCAACTTACCCAAAGAAATTCATTTTTTCTCGTTTGCGGTCGGCCAACTCGTTACCAACTTGGTAATATAACTTCTGTGTCTTTTGGTGTGAACGAGCCATTCATATTTGGGCAGCAGTGCGTGCCCCAGTTGCAGCAATTCATTGTCTACAATTTTTCATGATATTTTTAATGTATTGCTACTTTTATTCAGATGGGAAGCTACCATTCCTTTTTATGTTAATAACACTAGGTAGTAAAGACCCGATCATAAAAACATAAGGATGAACATTTTTACTTGCCTGTCCAAACATATTATAAATAGTTGTTTCTTTGAACGTAGTTATTACATTATGTTGACTGAGGCAGCAGAGTGCAGTGATTGTGGTACAAACTTATGCTTTGAAGGTACTGCATACCATACAGGTGTGCTCTTATTGTACTGGACATTCAGCAGCAGTGGGCGGCAAATTTACCATCATCTAAGCGTCACTTCTTGTGTCTGCAGAGCGTCACATCGACGGTCACCATATCAGTTTCTACAAATATTGTAGGTTCAAGTCGACTGACGGGCTTTTGTTGACGGCACTCTGGACCTGCGCAGTCTGCCAGCCACTTCACAAGGACTATAAGAGACTATGTGGACAGTGTCGTCGCCACTTGTATCTGCAGGGCATAACATCGACGATCACCGTATCAGTTTCTACATGGATGGTAGTTTGAAATAGACTGACGGGCTTTTGTTGGCACTCTGTACCTGCTCAGTCTGCCAGTCACTTCACAGGGGCTATAAGAGACTATGTGGACAGCGTCGTCGCCTCTTTCAGCAGCAGTCCTCCGTAGGGTCAATATCATCTTAGCACCACTTCTTGTATCTGCAGAGTGTCACATCGGCGATCACCATATGAATTTATACATGAATGGTAGGTTCAAATAGAGTGAAATGCTTCTGTTGGCGGCACTCTATACCTGCGCAGTTAGCCAGTCACTTCACAGGGGCTATAACAGACTATGTTAGCAGTGTCGTCGCCTTTTTCAGCAGCAGTCCGCGGCAAAGTCAACATCGTCCAACTGCCACTTCTTTTACCTGCAAGATGTCACATCGACGATCACCGTATCAGTTTCTACGTGGACGGTAGGGCGTTCAAATCGAATGACAAGCTTATGTTGGTGGTACTCAAGACCTGCTCAGTCAGCCAGCCAAGCAGTTCGCAACCACTGAAAAACACTCTGCGGATAGCGTCGTCACCACATTCAGCAGCAGTCCGTGGCAAAGTCAACATCTAAGCACTACTTCTTGTATCTGCAGGTTGGTTGCACACGATTTTAAAATATTTTCTGTAAGATAGCCTCACCGTGGCTCCTGCTGAGCCATTGTGTATTGTGGTTTGTTGTCTTAGAGAAAGTTAGAGGACCTCGTGAATGACCTAACAGGAAGCCTTTTATAAAAAATCATAGCCCATCCTATCGACGAACAGGGTTCGCTTTGTGAGGCAGTAGAGTTTCTAAGTAAGGAATATGATGCAATGCGTGCAAGACAGAATGAGCTTATTGCTACAAACAAAGCGCCTGTTAATGCAATGAAAATGAAGCCCTAAAAAAGAAGCTCGAAGATCTTCATCAGTATTCTAGGATGAACAACGTTGAAATAAAGGGCGTCCCGATTACTCTAGAAGAAGAATGCGCTGCCATACTTGAGCAGGCCGGACAGGTTTGACTTACCTGTCTTGACTGGTGACATCAACTGTGCTCACTGTATTGTTGCAAAATCTGGTAAAAAAAGTATCATTGCACATTTAGAGAGGAAAAGTAATTTGTTAAAAGGGCCCTGTAACTCTTTTTGAGCATAGTCCTAAAATGCAGCTGATCGGTATTATGGGCTCCCGAGAACACGCGAGCTAAATATTGTAGCGCAGTACGCAGCCTAGGATACACAATAAATTGTCAGTCAGCTAAAAATTGCTTTCTTTTTTCTCGACAAATGATGTAAGACGCTCAAAAATCACTCGTAGAAGGCCATCTATCAGCCATTGTCTGATTTGAACACGGCGCGCTCGGTCGTTACAGGGATCGCCGCAAAAGGCCCCAACTTTTCCACGCGTATGCGCCCTGTCAAACTGAAAAAGACGTGTATTTAAAGGAAAAAACAAAGAAAACAGCTCAAGGTTACGAGGCGCACGTAACGCGTCTTTTTTTTTTTTTTCTCTTTTATCCCTCTCTGTTTATCTTGCAGCACTTTCGTTGGGACGAGAAAAGAGAGAAGTGTTTATAGTGCGCGACAAATCTGTGTAACACTGCTCGTACTGGACTGATTCCTGAAATTTTCACATCGTTGAATTCGTGAGGTAACGAATTCTTGTAATCAGTCCATCCCATGGTTACTTGAGAAAATGTTTCAAGGCTCCCTTTAAGTAGGTTGATTTTTTAACCTTCTTAACAGCCCTTTTAACAGACAATCATGCCTTGCTGTCTGTTAGATTTCATTATATTGTGTGTAACAAAGAAAAAGAGCTCTTGAATGCACATTTCTTTCTTTCATTCAATGCAAGGGTCTTGTTCTAGCACACTTGGTGCTTTCAAGTAGTATACAAGGGATTATTGATCCTCTGCCAGCTCATAATAAAATTATGTTTTAACCTGACGCCAAACAAGCAGAGGAGCAGTGTTCCGCACTTGCAGTCATGGCTCCTGGCGGGGCTGATTAACACTCCCTCGTTTAATGCGCATATACACCCCGTAAAGTGGATAAGGGGTTAGCCGCTGTGGCAGCTCAGTTGGTAGAGCATCGGATGCATTATTCAAAGGTCACAAGCTTGGTCCCTGCCTACAACAAGTTATCTTTTCATCCACCTTTCTTTCTTCACATTTACATCATAATTGCTTCTAATAACATCCTGTATACTTACCTAGGCATGATTATCTGTTACATCTCATAAAGAAAGTACTGCAGCATCTAAAATTTTTGCTCAAGAAAGCTAAGAAAAACTTTTATGTGAAGGAATTAATAAGTCACTAGAATAGTTAAAAAAAAAGAGTTGCTCAATACATTCCCTAACAAAGCAACATGTCACACTTCAATCTAAAAAATTACGTATAATATGCACAATGATGTGCTTGAAGTTGCTAACGCGTTGA